TTAATATTATTTTGTAGACAAAAAGATATAGAACCATCGCCCATAGTACATGGTAAGTACATGACAGCAATATCTAAAAAAACGTGGCTACTAATAATAGCACACGATAGTGGCTTCCATATACAGCACATGAGAGTTGTTTCTAAATATAGTACATGAGAGTAGTTACCAAATATACACGGCACATGAGAGTGGTGTCTATATATAGCTCTTGCTTTGGTGTACGGTATTTATAGCGCACTTCGAATGGGGTTATGCATGTCTACAGCACACCCTTCAGCAAATACCTCTGTGACATACAATACCATTGGACCACTCCCCATCACCCGTCCTTAGCCTTCTAAATTGAACATAGAAGGCTATGACCTGTAACTGATATGTGCTAGGCGAGAGGGAGGCTTGGAAACTCTACATCAAGATAGCTGTAGTCAGACTCAATTCAAAGAAAACGTACGACAGAATATAAAGTTCACTCGGCTGAAATGAAACTTACATAGAACTCACCTATCCCATAAACCTCGGCGAGTTTAACCATCCAATAAACTTCGGCGAGTTTAACCCCATGACCTGTAACTCTATACATTTAAGGCCAACAAGTCGGTGGGCGTCTCAGTGCCGCAGAGAATAGACCTGAAGCTCGTGTATGTACCGTACGTGTCCACATTGCGAGTTTGGGCCTGTTCTTGGGTGCAATCGTGCAATCTACAACCATGCATGCACATGTGCAGAATGTCTTCTATGCTGTCTGGACACACGCCTGTGTATATACCTGCAGATGAACATGAACATATGCCTGTATATGCCTGTAGATGTCATAGATACACGCCTGTGTATATACCTGCAGATGAACATGAACATATGCCTGTATATGCCTGTAGATGTCATAGATACACGCCTGCGTATATATCTGCAGATGAACATGAATATATGCCTGTATATGCCTGTAGATGTCAGAGATACACGCCTGTGTATCTACGAATGCAATAAATGATGTAAACCAGAATGTGCACTCTCGCATGTACGACGATAGCTGCCATACCCAGCGGATTAGTTATAACATGGTTACCAAGGTGCATGTAGTCACTTGTGAGTACAATTACTGACATGTATACCAGTAACTACTATATATATAGAACCAGGATGTGTTGATATGATAACACATACTCACACAGACTTTCTAATAGGCATACGCTGTTGTCAAAATACATCTATGTACTCAACCGAACCCTCCTGCTGTAAGCACTGCACAAACACTTACTGGTGTAGGTAGGTCTATACTCTGGGGTGTCCAAAATGTTCCAAAACATTTCCCGTTTACAACGTTATCGTTGACACTGACTTTGCTCATGTGCACCGGATAACAACAGAACTGCGAGGAGCTCGAAAGCGCTCTGTTTGACAGAGATATGGATATTGAAGAATTGAAGCAGAATCTAGATGATACCAAAGTGGTGTGTTAAAAACTTACGGTACGGTTGCATATCGTGTCCTTATTTGTGCATTGTTAGTCGCATCGGGCAGAGAGATGGCTATAGATATAGTGAGTTGCAAGGACAATATGTCGATCAGGGTTTAGAGTTTTAGGGTTTTAGGCGAAGCCCTAAATCCTATGGGGTTGTTATACTTGCGAACTAGATCAAACGACCGACGACTGGCGCGAGCAAGTGGCAATAAGAAACACGCACCATTGACATGGTCACTTTCGCACCCCCATACGTGAACCTACACACGCGTGAATATATATATATAAACATGTGTGTATGTCTACGGAGATAGTAAAGTTATCGTAAACATGAAGGAGTGTTATTTCTCTTCACACAACTTGATACATCCACATACGTGCACATATACATACGTAGACATATATGCCTGTAACAATACCATTCAAAACCCCTGAACCCTAAAAACCCTTAACCCCAAACTCTAAACCCTGATTAAACACTTGACTCGCGCACTACACACCACACCTATAAACAGCACACCCATGAACTGGATCAGGAGATCACTCACTTGCGAGAGCAGGTGGTGGAAGAGAGTGACGCCATTGACAGAATGGCGCACGCGGCTCAGGATCGAATGGTTGGCAGGACACAGCTCAACACTCAGTTCAAGGGTATGTGCGTGTGTGCGTGTGTATTGGCGATGCTATGTGTGCGGGATTGCTCTGGCCCTATTCGGATGCAGAGATTGAAATATACCTACTTCTCCTGTACATGCATGTACAATCGTGTCTTTTGATATATGTCATTTCAATGGAGCGTGCTCATCTTTATAACGGCTGCTACATAGCTTTAATAGTCTGGTGGGGATAATGCTTCGTTTATAGTCTATTGAGAGTCTTGGAAGTCAGTCGAGAGTGAGTACATCAACGGCTGTGTACGTGCTATCCAAACAGAGCTGGAGACTCAGAAAGCAACCCTGTAGAAAAACCTGGTTGATAAACACACCGAGGTGGCCAAGCTGTACGCGTACCAGGACACCCTGGTACAGAAAATGGCCCAGAAAGACGCTGAGATCGGACAGAAAGACAAGCAACTCATGGACAAAGACATCGAGATCGTCACCTTGAAAGGGGACCTGCTAGCCCTGAAAGTAGACCAGGAGGCGTACTCACAACACCTGGCAGCCAGAGAGAAGACCATCGAACAGCTGGCGTTAAGTCGAGGCGGGTTGCAGCAGACGGTGAGACAGAACGACGAACGTGTGGCGGTGTTGATGGCAGACATGCAGGCACAGTGTAGTCGCACTGAGTACTGGAGAGCACGCTGGGAGGCATTGAAGGCTCAAGGAGAGAGTGTGAGTGCGGATACTACCACGGGGCAGGTGAATGAGAGTTGGTGAGGCTCTGTGCGGGGATGGGGTAGGATTTAAACTTGGTGTAAACTTGGTTTAAACCCTGGTATGGACACTTGGTTTAAATCCTGCTATGGACACTTGGTTTAAATCTTGCTATGGATAGGTAGTTTGAACCATGCTTCGACTATGGGTAGGCTGCATGGTAGACTGCTACAGACAATACGTTAAATATACGTTTTGAGGGCATCGAATTCTGTGACTACGATAGAGCGGGTGCACTCTGGAACTCAAAAGAATATGCACGTGTTTCTTGCTTCTGATTCACGCCATACTATTGACATAAATAGCCTGTATGACAGTTGATGGACTGCTGATAATACGATACGTATACGTTTTGATAGCTTCGAAATCTGTGACTACGACGGCGCAGGCGCACTCCAGATGGCGGAGTACTGTGCACATAGGCGTCTACGTATTGAGTATGCGTTAAAGTATGAATGAGGGGATGTGGATGCCTATAAGCAACATTTGCTAATACAGTGAAGGGCGTGTGTGGGTAAGACGGCGACTGTCTGCGTGTGCTGAGTTATGTGCACGTGTCACGGATGCTTCACAGCTTGGAGGGATGTTCGATAGGAGAGTGGGATACCAACCCACAGTGAATAGGCATATAGAGCTTTGGATTTATCGGCAGGTGTTGCTACATGCATGTACCTCGTCTACTGGTCCTTTAGCGGAGAGGACAGGACAGGAGAGGACAGGACAGGACAGGACACGAACGGCAACCCACATGTGCTAGCGGTATATACACAACACTCGACCAGTACACCGTAACCAAGCAATGGTTATGGTAAACTACTATTCCAAATAAAGACTACCATTACAAATAAAGTCTACTATTACAATTAAAGAGTACTATTTCAAATAAGGTCATGAGAAACCGTATCACTGCGTGAAATTATGATGATCAAGTTTGGATTTGTGCATTGCAAGGCCTTTTGTCTCTCCCACTAAATACGGGTTGACATCTGGTTGCTATTTGTTGTATCCGTACCCGCTGTCATTGTCTGTGGTCGATTCAACGTGACTAACATTGGTCACCACTGACAGATCCCAGAAGCTAGTTAGCATTGTATAAGGAGGTTTGCGCGCTAATGGTGTATACACACTTCTGGCGTGTGGGTGCAGATATCAATCCTTGGATCTGTGTTGAAAACTTGGCAATATAACAAGTGCTTTTAACCTTTTAAGAATTTTTATTGGAAAATCTTCGGATGATTTTCATTTTACACTGAGAGATCTACAATAAACAGAGATCGCGAATTGATCGACATTTGTGCTCACTATTAACAAACAACATATACAAGATAAAAAATAGCCCAAAGATGGTCAAGTGAGGGGCATAAGCAACCAATCATAATAGACAACAAAGAGATGGTATACGTGCATATATATACATACATACATGC